TTCGGAGTCCCAATACAATACGTGCAGCAAAATTTTGCACCAACTGTAATTTCTCGATGTTAGACTTGCTTGTGTTCGACCAGACAGTAGAACAGTAGAACAGCTTACTGAAGATAAAAGAATCCATAAGTAGAAGCAATGTCTTCTTATCCAATAAATGCTTTATCCTGTTTATTTCCTGTTAAACGAGCCTCAGGTAAAAAGACAACATGTAGAAGATATAACAGGACGGCGGTGAAAAATGAATATATCGAGGACGTGTTTTGCAAATTAGCGCCGCCTGTTACAGAAACGGGTGAAAATTAAATATAACGGAATACTTGACTTAAGCGGACTAATTTCGTTCAGTACGAGTAAACACAACCAAAAACTATGATCGGAATTGAACTAGGTGGGTTCGAACTTGAAGCTCGCACAACTAAACCTAACAAGCAGGTTAACTCACTGTCTCATACATAAACGAAGTAAAAAGGATCTCGTCACTTCAAAATTTCCGGCCAAAACTGTGCACCCGTATTTTCTTTCAAACGAAATTGCCTGTTAATTAAACGGGGTGAAAAATGAATATACAGAGGATGTGACAGGGCGGCTCAGGATATAAATAAAAAGATGTTTTTTTGAGTAGTAAAAACAATATTTTACAAAAGAGCGCAGCCTAATGAAAGCAGTAAAATATAAATATGACAGAAGAGCGGGCGAGCCTAGTTTTGCTCAAACGACAATTAACACAAACACAACCTAGAGACTCGACTGAGTAGGTAAAACCTGGAAGCTCGCAAAACAAAACCTAACACGCAGTCTAACTCCATGTCCTATTTACTATTCATGGAGCAAAAGAGAAAAAAAAAAAAAACTCGACACAGGAATTAGATCTCGTCACTTGAAATTTGCGGCCAAAATTGTACAAAAAATTGCGGGTTAAATGTGGTAAAAATAAATATATAGAGGATATGGCAGGGCGGCCATATCTTCCTTGTCGTGGTGGAGGAGCTTGCGTGCCTCAATGACCCTGAGAGCTATACCGACGGGGGGTCTTCCTCCAGCATGTCTAACCTTGGCGGGCAGGTCAAAGGGTAGAGGCCAGGCGTAATGGTAGTCACTGGCCCTCCAGTTTGGGGGTTGGGCGTGCGGCTAATCACTGCATCCCATAAAGGTACTTGATTACGCAAACCGAAAAGACGATTGACGAACTGGAACCCTGTCAACGAGAGAATCATGAGCGCACGCTGCAGCTCACGCTATGCAAAACTCATTGTTATCCAAGTGTACGCGCCCACCAGTGACGCAGATGACGAATCTAGGGGAGAATTTTATGAACAACTGCAGCGGGAGGTTGAAACAACACCCAGTCATGATGTACTAATTGTGATGGGGGACCTGAATGCCAAAATCGGAGAGGGCAATGAAGGATGGGAGAAGGTGATGGGACGATATGGACTTGGAGGAATGAACGAGAACGGAGAGAGGCTAGCGACGTTCTATGGCAACAACGACTTGGTGATTGGAGGCTCTCTATTCAAGCATAGAGACATTCATAAGATTACGTGGACCTCCCCGAATGCAAGAGATGGGAATCAAATCGACCATATCACTATCAATGGTAGACACAGAGGTTCGCTGATGGACACCCGAGCAATGAGAGGGGCTGATGCCAACTCGGACCATCACATGGTGATGGAAAAGGTTATCCTGAAACTATGCAGCACAAAGAGGAAGAGGAAGGAGAGGATCATCTTTGACATCAAGAAGCTTCGAGATTCCTGTGTCAAATAGGTATTTCGGCTGCAAGTGAGCAAGCGATGCCAGGTGTTGGGGACGAATGACGCAGCTGATATCGAAGAGATGTGGGGACGATTCAAGGAGGTCTACAACGAGAGTGCCAAGAAGGTGCTGGGAGAGAAGAAGAGAGTGAAGAAAGACTGGATCAGGGGGAAGACCTACAGGAAGATTGAAAAGAGACGAGGGTTAAAGGAGAAGATGGGATGTACACGGTCTGCCCGCATGAAGGAAAGAACTGCTGTTGCATATGCTGTGAAGGACAAGGAAGTGAAAGCCAGCGCTCGGGCAGACAAGCGGAGATGGTTGAACGACTTAGAAGAAGACGCTGAGACAGCAGCCAGAAACAACTGCAGTGGTGACCTGTACCAGATCTCTAGAAAGATAGCTGGACAAGGAAGGAAAATGACTACCATCAAAGATAAAGAGGGCAGGCATCTTGTAAATGAAGACGAAGTCTTTCAAAGGTGGAGGGAGCACTTTAAGGAAGTTTTGAATGTACAACGACCTGACATACCCCTACCAGTAATAGATCAAGCACCTGAGGTTATCACAAGCATCGACACTGGTGACATCTCAATTGCTGAAGTTAGGAAAGCGATCCACCGTCTGAAGAATGGCAAGAGTTCAGGGATAGATGGCATCAGTGCCGAGTTGCTCAAGTGCTCCGAGAAGGATGCTGTGAAACAACTCCACTTACTTTAACACAATCTGGAAAGACCAATGTGTACCACAGGACTGGAAGAAGTCGCTCATAGTGAAAGTGCCGAGGAAGGGTGACCTCACTCAGTGTGATAACTATCGCGGTATATCCCTACTCTCCGTACCAAGCAAAATCCTATGCAGGGTCCTTATTGACAGAGTGAAGAGTGGCGTGGACGAGATGATTAGGCAGGAGCAGGCAGGATTTCGATCTTGAAGGGGAACCTCTGAGCAAATCTTTGCTCTTCGGAATATCCTTGAGCAGTGCCAGGAATGGCAACCACCAGTGTACATTAACTTCGTTGACTTTTCGAAGGCTTTCGATTGCATTATCCGAGAGAGACTTTGGGACATTATGGGGCAGTATGGCATCCCTGACATCTTTATCAGGACTATTAAGGAACTACATCATCCGAGCTCAAGCTGCGTCACAGAAGGCGGAAGGTATTCTAGCTGGTTCGAAGTGAAGAGTGGCGTGCGGCGAGGGTGTGTGTTGTCTGGCTTCAACTTGGTGTTGATCATGGACTGGGTCATGCGGCACACAAATGATAAGAGACGCGGCTTGAGATGGAAATTCATATCAGTTCTAGAAGACCTGGACTATGCTGACGATGTTGCTCTGATCTCAAGCAGATTTGCTGATCTCCAGGAGAAGACCGATAGGCTAGCAGCCACTGGCAGCATTGTTGGGCTTAAGATCAACCCGCGCAAAACAAAGACGCTTAGGATGAACCACAGATGTACGGACTACATCAGGATAGAAGGAGAGGAGATGGAAGATGTAAAATCCTCCGTGTACTTAGGTTCAGTACTTGACAAACTTGGCGGCGCAGAAGCAGACATCTAGAGACAACTAGCACTAGCGAGAACTGCATTCACCAGACTCCAGAACATCTGGAGGTCAGGCAGATTCAGCCAGAAGACCAAGTTGCGCATCCTGAGCTCGAACATGCTGTCCGTGCTGTTGTATGGAGCCGAAATGTGAAGGGTGACAGCAACTGATCTCATCAAACTGGATGTGTTTCACTGCACATGCTTGAGGAAGGTGTTGAGGAGATTCTGGCCCAACTATCTGAGCAACGAAGAGCTGTACGAAGCCATAGGTAGTACGCCGAGGTCAGGCCTTATACGGGTGAGAAGATGCCGATGGTTAAGACATGTATTGAGGAAAAGTCCTGACAACATTTTGAGGACTGTATTGCGTGGGCACCTGAAGGTAAGAGGAGGCGAGGTCGACCGAGAAAGACGCGGAAAAGAACCGTGGAGATGGAAAAGAACAAGCTCGGATGGCATACATGGGGAGCTGCTGTTGCATCGGCCTCAGACCGGGGTGGATGGCGTGATCTTCTGGCCGGCTTCAAGAGTCCTCATAGGCGCGATGAGGATGAGTGAGTGTGAGTGATGGCAGTGCGAGTGATAAAAAAATATATATATTTTCGACTTGTAAAATATTGTTTTTAACCCGAGAAAATAAAATCTATATTCTTCAGGCCACCATGTAATTTTCTTTTTGAACACGATTTACCTCATGTTATTTCTCCAAAATGTCAGCGCGTCGGCTAATATTGCATTTACGCTGCTCTGTATCATACAGCCCGCAGAAAATAGCTTTCGTCACTGTCACTGAAAATAGTTCGCTGTCTTTTAAACTCTTTTTGTTCAAACTCTTAGCTTTTCAGAACCGAGCAGTTGTGAAAACATTCACTTGTCCTTCTTGGCACTAGTAAAAATAGATTAAGTTCCTGTACTTGTGTTGGGCTGAACTGTCGATGTTGCCGTAATTTCATCCATTCTTATTTTCGGTGAAGACGGAATCATTACACAACCAGAAGGTTCCTGTCCCTTGTATCCGGATAAATCGGCCGAGATGTGCTGTTGAAAAAGAGCCGAATAGTTATTTAGCGAATTAATTTATATTTTTGTGTCCAGTTATCAGCACAATTTCAGTAGGTGAAATATTATACAATCACAAAGATTCTGGAAGAGATGCTTTCTTGCGTTATGGTTAACCAATTTCTGGTCCGACTGAGGTTGGGAGGCCGCTATCATGTTTTTCATCATCGATCGAAGTGAATTCCCAGCGAGAAAGTTTTCAACTTTTTCTCTCTGCCATTGAGCTTCTGTGTTGATTAGCGATATATACAAGAAGTAGAATGGTCATTCATCACCTGATGGTCTCTACGGGGTTTGTCTTAGCTTAGTTTAGCTTAGCCTACCTTCAGTTACTAAATTT